TTTAGGTTACTTAACGTCTGTATATTATGCTAAGTTTTTGCATACACTACTATAGATGACTAGACCGTATGGAAAAACTGTTGGTTAGACTCAAAGCCCTCGACGAGGGCTAAAAGATGATCGTGAGTGAAATTCTCCTTATATGAGATATATATATATATATAAATAAATTGACGAACTGTTACGGGTCAGTTGTAGGTTAGACTAGAATAGGATAGAATGATCTAGAATTAGGGGAGAGTGAGTGTGTGAGTTGAGTTTACCCTAGAATATTGTTAACCCCGGTGTGTTTGTGTATTGTTATCCCAAGGTCGAATGCGGTATAAAAGCTGGAGTGAATGGTTGTCAGGGGGTAGTTAGTTGGCAGGGTTAGGTTGAGGGCTATGTTGTAATGTGATATGTGAGACCTAATAAACGTATCGAACGTTAACCCGAGTCGTTCTTGAATTCGAATCTAACCCGGACGTAACACGAACGATCCCCTTAATATTATATGACGTCGTAGACCGACCCTGGACGGTAACAAAAAACGTTATTCCCGTCGGAAACAGCCATTATAGTCGTTAAATATGTTCATATACCGTAATTTCTTATATAAGCACTAGGCATGCTGCCCAGCTTCGCTTAGGCTTTCAAAAACATTGAGAATTTGAATGCTTAATTAATTCGCCCGAGGGTCGGTCTACGACCTCAGGAGTTATGAAGAGGTTCCTACGTGGACAACATTTTTTCGATTTATAGCTCATGTAAGGCACCAGTCAGTCGAGGTCTGTTTTGACTCCCTCATCGTAGACCTTTAGGCCAACCGGCACTGGCCCCCGTGTTCTGTCGCCCCAAGGCAAAATCCTGCCAAATTTGAAGCGCCTGCGGCGCCGGGAAGTGCCCCATGTCGGGCACCCGACAACTTTGCTTCATATATTATAGAGATTAGCAAATTGCATAGATAAACAAAGATTTCCAAAGTAGTTCCTTTCTTTATAGTCTAAAATAGGAAGATTCACATATAAAAAAATAATAATTAGGTTTGACTTGGTGTGTCTCGATCCAGCCCCACGTGTCTGGTATCAAGTACACTATCATCTCAGCTTATTAGGTACCTTGTAAAATATGGAGAATAAAAGAAGTGTTTAAAAAAATAACTTACACGAATATGCCTATTTTTTCAAATTATTTTTTTTACCCAAAATTAACCAGTTTCATTGCTAAACAAACACAGATTTCTATAAAATATTTAAGTCCTGAAAAAGTTTATTATAGAAATTTATTTTTGGAATAGATTCTACAGTAGATAGAGTCTAAATCTAGATCTAGATCTAGAACAGATCTTAGCGACTTAGCGTCTAAAAGTGTAGTTTTTGCGTAGATTTAGATCTAGTCTAGGTCTAGAATCTCTAGATCTAGAATCCAAATAGATAAAATATTTTTTTAAGTTCAGGCCGAGAATATCCTATTGTGTAGTCTACATTTCATAGCGTATGTAGTCTACATTTCATAGCGTACATAGCTCTAAATCATATTTGAATGAAATAGTTCATTTTTTTAAATTCTAAACTCGGAAGATGACGTCATCAGTTTCGTGCTCTTGTTTTAGTGTTTTAGTGTAAACAATAAGCGACGTCATTGTTAAATGCGTTCTTGTCCCAAGTTTATACACTTTTCCGGTTGCATAAATAATACTGTTTCTCTATATTCGAATACGCCTTTATTTTTTATTTTTCTTCTTTAAATAAAATTGTGGTTATACATTTAAAACATCTAACATATTATTTTCAACAAAAGTCCGTAAAAAGTTCTCGATATATCGCTGCCGATTCTGACGTGATGTCCGGCGAAAATATTTTGCGGACAGAGAGAGAGAAGTGCGCACATGGGGAATTATATATTAGGATAGCAACTGTTTGTAAAAAAAAGTAAACAAAGACATACGTCATACGTTCAGTTTTCAGGGGAGGTAACGTTTTGAAAATTATTATTTTTCAAATAATTTTAAACTATTTTAAACAGAAACAGAAAATGACGAAGTATAGCATTTGTTTTAGTACAAAATTAAGTTGTTAATTCAGTTACGTATCCTAATTAAATAAATAAATAAATTTCAAAAGGCAATGCAATATAAACTATGAGATATACTGTTTATGGAACCTGTGTAGTTCTAATTCCATTTTAGTTATAGATTGCGTACTTTCAATTGTGTCTCTGGGAATATAATTTAAACGACAAACAAAAACATTTTTTCCAAAGTTAGCATTAATGTTTAAATTAAAGCACTCCACACCCAATCCATCGCTAAATTAAGTATTCAAATTCTCAAATGTTTTTTAAAAACCTAAGCGAAGCTAGGCAGTATGCCCAGTTTACTTTTATATTTTATTTTTAGTCTGCTTAGGAAACTTCATTTACGCAGATAGGCCATAGTATTATTTCAAATTAAATATTATCCGAAATTAGCAAATTCCATTGCTAAAACAAACAAAGATTTATATAAAATAATTAGGCCTAAGGCCTGAAATAGTTTAGTATAAAGATTCTAGATCTAGATTCTAGATGTAGAATTTACGTGTTAGTTTTTTGCCGTAGTTCAAGATCTAGAACCTAAATAGATATATCCCATGTATTCTCGAATAAGATGATAATTGAAGCTAAAAAGCGAAGATTTATATCAAATATTTAAGGACTAACATAGTTTAATTAAAAAAAAAACTCAACGATTTATTGTAATTTTAAAATGGCTTTTATTTTTAACTTATTAATTTTGGTTTGAGATCTAGGATTTTTCCTTCCTTCAACCGCTGATCTAGATCTATATATTTAGAGAAATGTATTGTATAATCAAATTAGAATAACTGTTGAAAATTGATGATAGTGTTGGAACTTAATAAAAATAGCAAACGAACGTATCGTTAAAGCTATAGCAGACAACTATATAATGCGTTATACTTTTGAATGGGCAACGAAATCTTGTATGGAAGCTGCCATTATTGTTATTAAAAAAATAATGTAACGTCACTATAAGTAATGTCATTGTTCTGAACTTTTATAATTAAAGTGGTTAATCTATCAACGAATATTTAAATAAATTAACTAACGTCTTTAAATTAATTTGTGATAGACAGTTTGGTCAAAAACAACATTGTTCTCTACCTAAATACTATTTTACAACCGTTCATATAGTGCAGATTCTCTCCTGTAACCAAACAGACAAAGAAAAAAAAACAAATAAAAAAACAAATAAATATAGAAACATGTAAACAAACTTGAGCGTAGTAGTATATTGATAAATATTCTGTACAATTTGCCTTTTTTACTTCCTGATTGTGCATGTATACTATATTATTATTTAGGCCAACTACCCCTTAATTATTTAAAAATGTTATAGCCTTAAAGTTAATTTTTTTTAAGTAACCAAACACAGTTACGTCACAAGGTGGGGGGCTGATGACAACATTTAAGCGTGACACCATGACATAACAGTGTAAACTTTACTGTCAAAACTATATTGCATCAAGCTAAAATAATAAAAGATTATTGAAAGAGAGGTGACTCCTCACATAAAATGCTAATGGGGCGATACCTTTTGTAAACGAGCACGGCGACACACACCTGACCTTGTGACGCCACTAACCTAAAACAATTGTTTAATATTGTACATGGTTAATTTAAAATACTTGTTTTTTTCTCTTCAAGCTTTGGATTTTGCAAAATTAATAATAAGTTTCTTGAGATTCATTTTAGCTGCTTCTGAATGTTCGATTCTTAGGATGGCTAAGTTCCTGACCCACTGGCCATATTTACAATTTGTTTCATAACAAATTAACATGAACATAATGAAAAAAAATAATGGGATTTAAAAAATACATGAAAGACATACAAATTTCCTTCCCGATCACCGTGAAAGAATGCTTATAACACCTAGCTCACCCGTCCGCGTTGCTGCGATCTTGTCCTACATAAAAGAGTAACGAAACAATTTGTAAAAGTTTCATCCTCCGTAATAATGAGGTTGAATATCTTTCTGTCACCGCCAAGGTATTAAATCCGTCGAGTACATAGTGTAGAATACACGTGTGATTAGTGTCATCCGTACGCCAGAGGCGTCGAAAGCCGCCCCAAGTGCAGTTTGACCGTTGAATCAAGTAGTACCACTGACTCTGCAGGACAAGCAATCAACGGATCCTTTGCTCTCAGGTAGCCTTTGGGTAACTATGGCTGAGGACAACCATTTTTCGATTTAGTAATCGATTTTTGTATTATTCCGTGTCCCTAGTGTAGGTCACTCATTAAAACGATTATATGCGCCGTATCAAGTAGTAACGCTGCCCCGGACACCCAATCAACGAACTCCAGGTACAAAGATAGCCGCTGTGAAAGTCTGGGTGGCTTATGGCACCGCCTTACTGCGGGGCGCGCCATCTGAAATAATAAAAATTTAATGGCAGAAACCTTATCAAAAGTCTGAGTTTCTTTCAGGCACCTTTTCAGAAAAAAATGTCTGGAAATAAAACACTGCCTGGATTATTCTCAACGAATTCCCAAAGTTTCTTGGCGATTAGATGAAACCCGAAAACTAATTAGTAGTGTTAGTAGCGTCGTGTTGATTAAAGTTTAATGAGATCAACAAATGAAATGTCAAAAGTAAGTAGAAAAACATTGACACATGTTGGACTTACATCAAATAAATATTAAATTCCAATGTAAAAGTTTTATTTTTTTTAAAATAGTGAAAAGGGCTCCTACGTCCTTTAGGCTCCTATGCCTGGCTTACGCTAGCCTTACAGTAGCTACGCCACTGAGGCGGAATTAATCTGTTTAAGTAGTGGAGTCACTGGTAATGGCGATTGCTTGAGAGAGGTTAAAAATAGAACAGCTATGTAGCTATTTATGAATGTCTTCTGTTGGAAGTAAAACCAAATAAAAAGTCTGTTCTGCTGGAGGCGAGATCAATGTTTTCTACGGACGACCAAACGCAAACAACTGATAACGAAATTATTTTAAAATTTCAGCATTGTTTTCCCAACCCAGCCATAGAACAAGTCACTTGTCGGAGTTTGAAAAATGCTTTTCGCTACTCTGATTCTGAGTGTGTTTTTTATCGTTACAGGTAAATTTATGTATCTATAATATATTTTCTGTTATGATTTTGATAAAATGATACTTATATGATAAAAAATGTAATGTATATATATATTCATAGTCAAAGGAAATATGAAAACTTGCAATAAAAAGTTTGATTTTTTTTCCATTGATGTAGCACTATGCTATACAGAGTTTAATTTAAAGCTATGAATAATTGTATTAACATTGCGAAAGATTTTTAGTTAAGCATTTATTATCCATTGCGCTATTTAGGTTCGTATATAATTCGACACAGTTGTGCTAAAGAGAATAAAACAAATATAAAAACATAAAAAATAATAAGCTAGTTAGTATACATGTTCGACTTAATTTCCATTCGTCTGGACGCATATGACACGTTTAACTGAACCCCACACATCTGTTAACATATAACTTTACCCATTACATATGTTAGCATTTGACATGTTTAACTTTATCCTCATATATATTTTAGCATATGACATGTCCAGTTTAACTCCATACATCATTTACAACTACGTTTTCTCTGTTTAACTTACGTGTCATTTTTTTCAATGTCCGTCTTAAGAAAGCGAAACCGATCAGAACTCTCTTGAATTTCAAAGAGCAAATGGAATCAACACTACAATAGATGGCTACCTACCCCGGTGTCCAGGGTGTGTGGTGTTTGGGAGGGATCCACTGATAGTCTATGGCAAGTTTTATCTACCAAAGGACAAGTGGCACATAATAACGCCAGATCCCGCGTACAAACGACCTCAACCATCTTTTGAAGTCTCATTTTGCGATTCCGGCTGCGAAGACTATGCCAATTGGAAAAAATGGTTTGCGGTAATTAATACATTTTCTCTAATTATGAAAAAAAATAATATAGTTTAAAAAAAAATAACGTTTTACATATTCACTATCGCAGATAGAGTATCTTTGGAAATGTTCCAGAAAATAAAATTTAAATGATTTTAGGAGCATATAACCTCGGATGAAATTTCTACACACTATGATATTTGAGGACAAGTTGAAGATATGTATCTAAGAACAAGTTATTTTTGAGCTAAATACTTGTTTTTTTAGTTTGTACAAGAAACCTTGCTGCACTTAGTGATTATAACTTTTTATCTCGTTGCCATTCGTTGGTTTTTCTAAAAGATCAATATGGGATCTATACATTAATCTCGATTTAGCAATGGAACGGAGCTGGGGTTGTCACCTTTCCCCCTTTACAGCATTTACGGAAAGTTGTTTTCAGTGTTTTCTCCAGGGGGGGGGGGGGGGGGAGGGCGAGATAAAAATTTCGTGTCGGCAGGGTGGGGGGGTGGGGGGTGGACGGACACTGTTAAAAGTATATATTTTCTATATAAATTCCATTTAGTTCGGGGGGAAGGGTAGACCTTCTCCGAGTGGGTGGGGGGGGGGGGGAAGGAATGAGCCGTTGTTTTACTCGTGCGCGTTACCACACTTTCCTTTCAAACTCCTTTTTAAAACGTTTTTCTTAACTCAGCTTCGCGTTTGTTTGTTTGTTTGGTTGTTTGGATGTTTGTTGTTAAAATTGACATCGAAAATTAGCCCACTTCTGATTGCTCTAGAGACCTGAAATTTGGCATGCATGCTACTTTCGCCTAACAATTTCAGATGCAATCATAAAAACTAGCAATTAGTGACCGTAATTAGCTTAATTTAATTACGCCCCAAGGACCATAAAATTGAGGACATGATTTCTAAAGATACCGACAAGACTGGAGGCCTATTGACACAGTTACTTCGGCCCCAATCGATGTGAGCGCGCTGGCCGTGATCGTATAGTGGTTAGTACTTCGCGTTGTGGCCGCGACAACCCAGGTTCGAATCCTGGTCGCTCAAGATTTTTAGTCCGTGTATTTATAAACACTTTTTTAAAAACCACGTTTTTCATGTGTAGCAACGGACTAAAAAGGAGAAAATAAAATACTTAAAAAAAACTTTTTAAAAAACACTTTTTAAAAACCACGTTTTTCATGTGTAGCAACGGACTAAAAAGGAGAAAATAAAATACTTAAAAAAAACTTTTAAAAAAAAACACGTTTTTCTTGTGGACTAAAAAGTAGAAAATAACTATTTACATACATTTGATGACAAAAAACGTGGGTCGGGCAGATGGGTCGGGAAATTTGATGGTGAACGTACCCACGTTTTTTGTCATCAAATGTATGTAAATAGTTATTTTCTACTTTTTAGTCCACAAGAAAAACGTGGTTTTTTAAAAAGTTTTTTTTAAGTATTTTATATTAACACGTTTTTATTAACTCAGCTTCGCGTTTGTGTGTTTGTTGTTAAAATTGACATCGAAAATTAGCCCACTTCTGATTGCTCTATAGATCTGAAATTTGGCATGCAGGTTACTTTCGCCTAACAATTTCAGATGCAATCATAAAAACTAGCAATTAGAGACCGTAATTAGCTTAATTTAATTACGCCCCAAGGACCATAAAATTGAGGACATGATTTCTAAAGATACCGACAAGACTGGAGGCTTATTGACACAGTTACTTCGGCCCCAATCGATGTGAGCGCGCTGGCCGTGATCGTATAGTGGTTAGTACTTCGCGTTGTGGCCGCGACAACCCAAGTTCGAATCCTGGTCGCTCAAGATTTTTTTAGTCCGTGTATTTATAAACACTTAGTCAATTCATACTTAATCAAGTCATTAGATAAAGTAGAAAATAAACTATATAAAAAACTTTTTTAAAAACCACGTTTTTCATGTGTAGCAACGGACTAAAAAGGAGAAAATAAAATACTTAAAAAAAAACTTTTAAAAAAACCACGTTTTTCTTGTGGACTAAAAAGTAGAAAATAACTATTTACATACATTTGATGACAAAAAACGTGGGTCGGGCAGATGGGTCGGGAAATTTGATGGTGAACGTACCCACGTTTTTTGTCATCAAATGTATGTAAATAGTTATTTTCTACTTTTTAGTCCACAAGAAAAACGTGGTTTTTTAAAAAGTTTTTTTTAAGTATTTTATTTTACTTTTAAAATGAAATATGATGCCATGGTTGATAAAGTGTATATATTTTTAGATGTCGATTCTTGCTTTTAAAATAAAATAAATGCGCTTCATTAAAGCACTAAACTTTTTCTTGTATTATCTTTTCTCAAGTATTGCTGGTTTGGAAAGCAAGTCTTCAAACCAGACGGCTGCAAATTAAGTGATCAAATAGAACGAAAATATGTCGATTCCAATTGCTACTGTGATGACACTGAACCGATGCGCTGGTTTGCTTTGATAGACCCCTTTTATTTTAGAAATCCTAACATGATATTCCGTGCTGTTTGGGATGGAGGAGACAGAACGAAACCAAGATTTTTTCCACCTCAGACTTACAACACAATTTATCTCAAGGATATTTTTGGTAAGTTTGCTAAATATATTATATACAAAATTTATAACAAACATTTATTTAACTATACAATAAAAAGTAGGAAATAAATGTTTTTTTAAATATGAAATAATGCATTACTATTTAGATTATAATAATTATAAAGTAAAGCTTAGGTAGCTTATGCCATTTAAGTTAAGGTATTCAATAGATAATATATTCGCCCCCGCTTTTCTTTATAGTTATTTAAAGACTACTGTGTTTTCTATCTTTAAAGAAAATAATTCATTTCCTAGTTTTTAGAGCTTCTTTCCTATTTAAAAAGGAAAGAGTTCAGATTCTGGTTAGGGCACTCGCCGGTGCAGCAGGTTTTTAAAAATTTGGCAGATGTTCGCGTAAACGGGAATAGAACACGGGAGCAAAAGCCGGTTGGTCACAAAGTCAATGACACGCGGGTCAAAACTGATCACCACTGAACATTACCTCAAATGAGCTATATTAAAAGAACTCCACATGTCGAAACCCGCTGTTAATTTAATAGTTCGTACACAGAGTTTCTTCCAGGCATCTCTTCGGGGGGCTTACCCCCCCCCCCCCCCCCCGAAATTTTTTTACCGCCCCCCCCCCCCCGAACGAAATGAAATTTATATAATTTATATAGAAAATATATACTTTTAACAGTGTCCGCCCCCCCCCCCCCGAAGAAAGTCTACCGCCCCCCCCCCCCCCCGAAAATTTCAAGTGCCCCCCCGGAGTAAAAAGTCTGGAAGAAACACTGTTTGTACATCGACCACAGCGTCACAAAAAACGGTGTTACCTTCAGCCAAACCACTGAAGACTGTTAGAACTGACCACATGCCACATATTCTTATATATAAACGTGTTTAATTTTTGTAAAAATATCTAAACAAAAAAAAAACGTCATTCGAATGTTGTAAAAGTCTACTAACTACCTAAAGTAATGATTTTACATTTGAGTTTTATTTAACCCTCCAGCTTTATATAAAACTTTCACCAATTAATAAATTATTCAAATGTTCAGTTTTAACATGTATTAAAATTAGACGTTTTGAATTCGTTAAATAGAAGTTATTTTTAGTTATATAAAGCACATGTAAAAAAAGGCCTATTTATATTACTGTCCTAAATCTTTATCAGTAGTCACTAGCCCATGAAGAATACTTCAATACGAAAGCGAACAAGCAGATGAATTATGTAAATTACATAAATGATGCAATTTAGAAAAACGAAATATAATTATGTAAATGACCATGCTTAATCGATGGCATATGGTTTATAATGGGATAAGTTCACCTTTGATTTACCTAACTAAAACTATGCATCAATTGGGATGGGTTGACTCAGGAATGTAAAATTACGGGCCGCCGCTCATGAGAAAATACATTTTTTCCCGCAAAAGCCGCAAAAGCAAATTCTCAACAACTTCCCAAACTTTCATAGCGATCGGGTGAAAGGTGTAATAATGCATAAAAGACAGACAAACACACATTGCTATATATATATACATATATGTATACGTATATGTGTATATACATATATATATATATATATATATATATATATATATATATATATATATATATATATATATATATATATATATATATATATATATATATATATATATATATTTATATATATATATATATATATATATATATATATATATATATATATATATATATATATATATATATATATATATATATATATATATCTAAATAGCCAAAATCACCGAGAGCAGGAATTATGTATTACATGTAGCATTTTAATCTAAATTATTGTGGTGAAAAATGTTGCTTGTTCTTATGAATTTCGTGAAAACATTTTCTGTATATTTTTGTTTAGCTCTGGTTAATGTGTTATGTTATTAATAGTGCAAAAAAAAAACTTTATTAGAACTTAAAAAAATAAGTTTGATCTTTTGGACTTGCCAGTCCAAAACTGAAAGATGGAGTGACGTTCACCTGGTTCTGTGACCTTATTAGCGTAGCCTGGATACACACAGACGCTCTAAAGACCAAAACGGCAAAATTTAAAAAATTCCCTCTTAAAAAAACCATCACAACACCCCAGGCATCACGTGGGATTAAAATATTGTCTTAATACAGCTCGTGGCCATATTGTTATGTCTCAAAGATCTACGAACAGATCCAAGTCCTGGGCGGCGGGTAAGTTATCTTTGTTGTTGGTATATAAGCTGTTCACACATAACACAACCAGCCTATAAACTGATCGTGGCTTCTACATTAATGATCCCTACCAGCCTAAAGACTGTTAGTACATTCTGTATTAATACACACTAAAGACTGATCGTGGCATCTACATTAATGATCCCTACCAGCCTACAGACTATTAGTACATTTTGTATTAATACACACAAAAGAGTGCTAGTGGCTGTTAAATTAATAAACCGTACAAGCCTAAAGATCGTAATAGCTTCTACATTAATACACCCTACCGCCAGAAAGACTGCTAATAGTAATAGCTTCATCATTAATAAACCCTACCAGCCTAAAGACTCTTTAGAGTCTCTACATTAATAAACCCCGCAAGCCAACGTATAGAACAAACATAGATCTTGTCACCACCGGAATTGTTCAAGTGTAGTTTGTAGTTTGTAACACTGACATGTTTATGTAGAAATATCAACATGTTTTTACAGATCTTCTGCTGGAGTTGACCTCAGTTGTCCTGGCCTTTGGTACCGTGGCTTTCTTCATGTCTTAGGCTGAGATCCTGCTCATTGGTGTCCATTTGGGTGTGACCATTACAAATCTCGGAACCAAGCAACTTTATATCACCACCAGATAGAATGTAAAATGGCTCATGTTAGTGTTTCAATAAAGTTTTATTTCTAATTCATTAAAAGTCATAGTCAATGCTTCTACATCAGAACATTGTTGTTTAATAACTAACTACATAATTGTATAACTATAAATTTTTAAAGGCGGTGTATTTTGTTTTGAAAATATTAATTATCTTTAGTTTATAACTAATTTTTACTTGTAGTTAGGTTTACATTAAAGTTTTTTTTAAGTTTACTATTTTAAACTATATATATATATATATATATATATATATATATATATATATATATATATATATATATATATATATATAAACATAAGCTAAGTTACATTTATTTGGAATTAAATACATATATATATATATATATATATATAATATATATATATATATATATATATATATATATATATATATATATATATATATATATATATAAACCAAATTACATTTATTTGGAATTAAATAAATAAATTTTAATGAAAGTTGTCTTGCTTAATGTTTCTTAATTTCAAATTAAATTTAATTTTGTTAAACGTAACTTACATACTTTGATTCCCATTTATTTACGTTGAAATTAACTTCAGTTCATGCCAATTTAAACACAGAAATAAACACGGAAATCAGTTATCTTTATCTAAATTTTAGAGTTAAAAAGTATAATTGTATTTCAACGGCACTAACAAAATTTAATAAACAACATATTGGGGAAGTAGTTAATTTGTACCTCATAAGAAAATAAACTGGGAGTATTCTCCCTAAACTTTCTCGAATATTCTTATATAACACTACTAGGGCGGCAACTCGGATATAGAAATGATTTTTAATTACTTTATTTTGTTTCAAATAGAATAGAATCTCGTAGAAAAAAGAATTGCGCTCCAAGTGAACGCCAAAAAAAAATTTGCATAATAGTGTGGAAGATTGTTAGTACTTTATAAATTTACATGCATTTTTTGAGATGTCGGAAACATTCTAAATTACTAATTCCGGTCAACGGAAGCTACTCAAAATTTGATAGAAGGCATAGAATTTGATTAAGTAATAAAAAATTAATTAAAAATCATATCTATACGCCGAGTTTTCACCCCCGGAGTGTTAGATAAGTATATTCGAGAAAGTTTAGGGGAGATCACTCTCGCGTTATTTTTTTATGTTACCTTTAATGATATATTAATGTGTAATTGTTATCACATCTATGTTCAACACATATTAGTAATTTTTGTTAGAATACCTTTAACATGCAGTTGTTCTAGATTAAAGAAAATATTGCGTGTATTCATTATAGTACTTACTGATGAAAACACGGACAAAGGACATCTAGAAAATTCATTTTTGGTCGGTTAAATTATTTAAGGCAATGAGTCTGTTTATGGTATTTATTAATGAGATGAGCCCGGCCACTAATTCACAAAGTACAGGGGCGAAAAGTTAAGCCCCGCTATTAGTGACCTATTGCTGTGGCTAGACACTTGAATATCTAGACGCCAGCCATAAAATAAATTCTTATTCGCCTAATGGGTTAGGGTTGGGGTTAAAAAAAGGATTGAGTTAGTGTAATGGTTAGGGTAAGGGTAAGTGTTAGAGTTTGAGTTAGAATTAGGGTTTGGTTCGAGTTTGGTGTTGGGGTTAGGTTATAGTAAGGGTTATAATTATGGTTATGGGTTGGGGTTGGGGTTGTGTTAGGTTAGGGTAAGTGTTAGGGTTAGTGTAATAGATTGTGGTTTTATTAGAATACAACGGACACAGAAGCCATCCAGCATGTAGCTTGTCTTTATTCGAAACCGGAAGCCACATGACATGCAAGGGACATCACTCAAAACATTATAAATATAAGACTAATACAAGAAGAGTGAGTTCCCTTGAATCCACAAGGCTCAATATATTACATCCTTTTACCCTTAGTAAATAACAACACAGCTCTCAAGAGAACAAATGACAGTATCCTAAAATCACCAAATATATTGCAACATGAACATTATATGATTTGAATCATTTGGTAGATTACATCCTTACAAACAAATGCACAATATGCTACAACATAATTAAGATACAAAACAATGATGTCAAAGTCCTCTTAACCTTTAAAATCAAAGGTCTAACTTATCTGGGGCTTTGATTGTCCTGTTTGACCTTCTCAGTGGCTGTTGATTTGGTAACTCAAGATTCTGACCTTCTGGATTCTCTAACTCAGGAAGTCCAGGATCTAAATCATTAATTCCAGAATTTACATTTTCTGACTCTAGAGTACTTGGTTCACTCATATCAACAGAACTTGGTTGTGGAACAAACTGAGTTGTTGTGAACTGGTCAGATGTGGTGGAATTGATAGATTCACACTTATTATCTGCACAAGTTATTTTTAACTGGTCTGCATGTCTACGGACAATAAGTCAATTATTTGTTTTTACTTTATAAGACACAGGTCCTGTATATTGAACAATTTGACCTGGCATCCATTTTTCCCCTCTCCCATAATTTCTCAGATACACATTATCATTAACTCCAAATTCTTTCTCAATGGATGTTTTGTCATGATTTAATTTTTGTGTATGTTGATGTTGGGTAACAGACCTTTGAACAGTTGAATGTAGTAGGTCAAGGTGAGTTTTAATTTTCCTACCACACAGCAATTCGCATGGTGCAACACCTGTTGTTATATGAGGAGTTGTGCGGTATTTGGCTAAGAACCTGTTTACTCTTTCCCTGAGAGAAAATTTGTTACCGGTACTCATTTTTACCATAGCGGTTTTGAATATGCCTACCGCTCTTTCAGCCAAACCATTCCCAGCAGGATGATAGGGTGATGTGGTTATATGCTCAATACCATTTGCTACACAAAACAGTTTAAACTCATGAGCAGTGAAACTAGGCCCATTATCTGAAACAATTTGATCAGGTAATCCATGAGTTGAAAATATTTCCTTAAGTTCTATAATGGTATCACTTGCAGTGATTGTGTTCATGATTTTAACTTCTAACCACTTAGAATGTGAATCAATAACAATTAAGAACATTTTGTTCATGAAGGGTCCTGCGAAATCTATATGGATACGTTTCCATGGTTTGATTGGCCAATCCCAGTTTTGCAAAGGTGCTGTAGCTGGTTGATTTAAATATTGTGCACAGCTTGAACAAAGCTTTACATATTTTTCAATATCAGCATCCATATGTGGCCACCAGAACCACGATCGTGCAAGACTCTTCATTTTGGAAGAACCAAGATGAGTATCATGTAAAGTTCTTAAAACTTCTTTTTGTAACATTTTGGGGATAATAACCCTTGACCCCCATAGTACACATCCATCTTCTAGACTTAACTCTATTTTTCTTATTTTATATGGCCTTGAATCATCATTCACTGACTCTTCAGGCCAACCATTCTTACAGTACTCATATACTTTTATCAAGCACTCATCTTTTTGTGTTTCTCTCTTAGCATCATTCACATTTATATTGGAGTTATCCATGATAGTGCAAAGAACAAATACATCTTCTGGTACATAACTAAGGCTTTGGTTTTTTAAAGGTAAACGACTAAGACTATCTGCACTATTCTCAGATCCAGGTTTGTATTTCAATTCATAATTGTATGCAGCTAGTGTGATACCTCTTGGTAGCTGGACTAGCTGGTGCGCATAAGTCCTTTACTAGCCTAAATTGTTGAGGCCCTATGACTGTTAACAAAACAGCTCTCTTTTTGGCTTCTATCGTCACGTCGTTAGCTTCAAGGTAAAAGCTTAACCAATCTAGATAATCATGAATGGTTTCATCATTCGAATTAAATTCTTTTATCTGGCCATACAGCGCCATTATCCTAGAAATACTTAGCCAATATGCTCTAGCAAGCTTCTTTTTAAGTAAGCCTGTGCTCTTTTCAGTGGATTGATTTATCCTCGTCGCCAATTGTAATAGATTGTGGTTTTTGTTAGAATACAACGGACACAGAAGCCATCCAGCATGTAGCTTGTCTTTATTCGAAACCGGAAGACACATGACATGCAAGGGACATCACTCAAAACATTATAAATATAAGACTAATACAAGAAGAGTGAGTTCCCTTGAATTCACAAGGCTCAATATATTACAGTTAGGGTTAGGGTTATGGGTTGGGGTTGGGGTTAGGTAAGGGTAAGGGTAAGGGTAAGGGTAAGGGTAAGGGTAAGGGTAAGGGTAAGGGTAAGGGTAAGGGTAAGGGTATGGGTATGGGTAAGGGTAAGGGTAAGGGTAAGGGTAAGGGTAAGGGTAAAGTAAGGGTAAGGGTAAGGGTAAGGGTAAGGGTAAGGGTAAGGGTAAGGGTAAGAGTAAGGGTAAGGGTAAGGGTAAGGGTAAGGGTAAGGGTAAGGGTAAGGGTAAGGGTTAGGGTTAGGATTAGGGTTAGGGTTAGGGTTAGGGTTAGGGTTATGGGTTTGGGTTTGGGTTTGGGTTTGGGTTGGGGTTAGGTTAGGGTTAGGGTTAGGGTTAGGGTTAGGGTTAGTACGACGTCCTATAAGTGGGTTTAAGGTAGAAAGATAGCAGCGGAGGAATTAGGGACGCCAAATTAGTAACAAAAACATCAAATAATTAAAAGATATGTAAAAGATATGTAAAAATAAAAACACACAAATTTCAGTTAAAAGGAGTAATGAAACTGCAAGACATATCATAAAAACGCTAAATAAATCTAAACGGAACAGTTTCCAGAGAAATATCGTGTTACGTGAAAGACCAACAAAGCCTATTTTATATAAGAATGATTGCAACAACACTTAAATCGAATGAAGCGGTAACGTTCATGTCCCATTCTACTGGTATCAGGTCTTGACCAACATGTCCAGTTTGAAACAAATTGGCCCGGTAAAGTGCATCGACATACGAGATTTTTAAAAATACGAGCTGGCTTGCAAGCTAAAATTTACTTTCACATACGAGTAACCGGGTTAGCGGGTTTAATAGTTCGTAGAAAAGTGACACACTATAAATGTTGCAACTGATTGTGCATCGGAACTAGTTAATGACTTTTACCTAACTGATTTCCCAAATATGGTGAAAGGGAGAAAAAAACAAACCTCCTTGTACAGATTTATTTTAACGGCCTAAATGGGATGCCTCATTCATTATTTTTAA